AGAGAGAGAGAGAGAGAGAGAGAGAGAGGGGGGTGGGGTCCTTTAATTAAATAATTATATTTTTTTTCTTTTTTTTTAAATAGAGAAAACCTCATAAATGGTCCCTTGTATTGAAATGACGAAAATGTCCCTCACTTAACGGTAGAAAGCTGACGGAGTTAGGCGGAATGACCATTTGTTAAAAGTTTTGAAACCACAGGACCATCTGTGAGGTTTTTTGAACTTAGGGACTAAACTTGATATTTTCGGAAACCACAGGGACCATTTTTGAAGTATTGTCTATATTATATTTGGTTTTTAAATACAAAATAAAACATGACAAACTATTAAGTACATAAACAAAAATGTTGAAGCTAAAAGTACTAAAAATTATAGTCGTGATATTGGTTGTCTTCATAAAATTGAACAATACTAATCCGACAGGAGAATATTTCTGTTGTTTGGTAATATGAGGTTTCATGTCATAGTGGTTTCTTCATGATTGCAATCCTACGTGCATTTGTATGTGTGCGTGCATGCGCATGCGCATGCATGTGCATTGTCTTTTGGGTATTTTCAGTCTCCTATGGTTATTCATCATAAACAACATTATAACTATCTAGCACATTAATTGAAGAGCAATGTGGACCAGCTTGTTCATCATTTGTAAGACTCATAAGGAGCAGATGCTAATGGCGTTTTATGAACTTTTTAAGTTTTGTTTGTTTCTTCCTTATGACAAGCGTTAACATCATGCTTATGCTTACTTCTCTTATCTTTTGTGTTGTATTTGTTGCACTATTCATATATTTTACTCTATTGATTCTCCCAATTGATTATTTCTTTTCTCCATAAGTTACTTTTGGAGGTATGGGTGTTTCACTAACTTCTAACTTTGAATTTGTCATCCAGATAACTTCTCTATTTTCTAAACTTCTTCTCATCTCACAGTTTACAGTAAACAAAAATAAAATATCATCACGTATAACTTTTGATGTATAAAAAACACACTGCTTAGGAACGGTAAACCTTGCCATTTTTCTAGCCTTGTCGAAAATACCCAATACCGAATTACCCGTCCGATTTTTTTGGGTATCAGGTTAATCGGGTTAATTTTTTTCGGGTATCCGGGTAACCTGATTTTTTTCAGGTCAGGTATAAGGTACGTTTGTTGGGTTTCGGGTATACCCGAACTATTTTAATTTTTTTCATAGAGTTTGTACTCTGTAGCAGGTATTTTGATCATGTTTAACTAACTATCATTATTGTAAAACATGAATCTCTTGTATTAGAGCACTATGACACCAACAATATTAAAAGCAATTGTTTATATGTCACCATGTTTTTAAACTTAAATGTTTTTTAGATTACAGTTTTTATTGCAAATAACAAACTTATTATCTTGACGAAACTTCAGATAATGGCAAAACTTATAGGTACAATTATCTTAAACATTTTAAACTTTTAAACTAAGATCTTTAAATATATATATTTTTTTAACATCTTATTAGATTATATTAAGCTGTTAAAAGATTACTTGATATCTCAAGTATTATTGACTAAAAAATCTCAATGTTCAAAGTTTGAGTAACTTCGTTTATGTCTCGTTTGTTTATATAAACAAAACTAATAAAGCACAAAATATTTATTTCATTAAATTTATTTTCGGGTGCCATTAAAAAAAATTATATATTTCGGATAATACCCAAATTACCCAAACCCGACCCACTACCCGAATTATCCAAACCTGCATTACCCGAATTTAATTTGGGTCTGATAACAGATATTTTTTTTAACATGAAAAACCTGAATTACCTGAAACCCGAAAAAGTTATCCGATCAACACCCCTACATTTTTCTAATCAAAGTTTTATCCTTATTACCTTTAGGTAGAAGCATTTCTAAAATTTAAGACTTATAAAATTCATCAATGATTATAGTCCCCTATCTGAAACATAGTGCAGATCCATCAAGTTTACTTTGCTGAAATATACAAAGTTATCCCAAATTAACTTCAATGTAATCAACTTCATTCCGGTGTAAATATGATAACACTTCGTTAGGGTTGTTCTATTTAACTGGACTTGTCCACTTATTTTACTAGTCAAAGATTGCAAGAGGACACTAGCAAGGAAATTCCAACTTATTTTACTAGTCAAAGATTGCAAGAGGACACTAGCAAGGAAATTCCAAGTGACGAAGAAGTTTTTTCTTGATTTGAACATTCAAATATTCTCAATGAAACCATAACCATCTGGAAAAGATCTTCATCGTATGGTTCAACAAAATCACGATTAACATCTAGACTAGGCATAGCAATCAGGTTGTGTTCGGGTTGGCGGGTCACGGGTTGACGGGTTAGCGGGCCAGAAAACATAAATTCAACCTATCCCATACAATATATGGGTTGGCGGGTTACGGGTTGGTGGGTTGGAAACCTCAACCCAACCCAACCCATATAACCCGTTTAAGTATATGAGTTCATGAGTTCACAAGTTAGTGGATCGAACCCATATAACCCATTTAATAAATAAGCAACACATTTTCAAAATTGAGGTTTTTTCAACATAAATTCACAAAGTGATTAAAGTAATTAACATAAAAAAAAGTTTTCAACATAAATTCATAAAGTCGTTAACATCCAAATAAAATTGAAAAATAAAAACATTCATACAAAATTGATGCGTTTTTCGTTCGTGATTCGTGAGTATCTAAAAATGACGACATGTGTTTTTTTTATTAGGGCACCGCAAATACAGACTAGCTACATACGAATACGGAAGGAATACAATGATACAAAATATTATGAATACGAAAGGAAATCAGATTTCATTAAATATCTATTTTTTAAATGTTATATATATATATATATATATATATATATATATATATATATATATATATATATATATA